CTTCCGCCTGTGGATTGTGCTCTTGGAAAGCTGGGGATGCTCCATGAGCGGTGACCTCCCTTCCACAGGATTCTCGGATAAGCTGTGGCTGCCCCTGGATCCCTGGAAGTGTCCCAGGCCAGGCTGGAGCAACCTGGGATGGTGGGAGGTGTCCCTGCCCATGGCAGGGGGTGACACTGGATGGGCTTTGAGGTTCTTCGCACCCCAGCCATCCCAGGATTCCATGGATGACGAATATCTCGGTGGTGGGAGCTTCTCATCCTCCACCCCAGGAATCCAGCGGATCTTGGCCGTGGATGAGGACCAGCATCAATAGCCATAAATCCAGAGTAGCTGCAAGCCCATCCCAACCCTCTGGGTCTGCTTTTGGCTCTCTTGGTGCTCCTCTCCCTTTGGGAATGGAAAACAACCACCTTGCTGGAATCCTGTCAGGGAATCCAGCAACTGCTCCGCCCCAAGGGCTGCTCCAAGCCTGGCTTTACCCGGAATCCCAACCCCTGTGGCTCATTTATTCACAGCATTCCCAGTTTTCCGACCCTGAGCTGCTCAGGGCCGTGTCCCGGGGAGTTTTGAGGAATAACTGCGTTCCTCACGGATCTTCCGGGGAACCCGTGCCCCATTTGAAGGCCTGGGTTGTATTTGGAGTGAAAAGCAAGTTGGGTTCCCATTCAAGAGTTGCCAAAACACGTGGTGATCCAGGGATTTGGGGGCTGCCTGATCTTCTGGATCAACCTCTGCTCTGGAGCCAGGCCGTGGCTTAACTACAGGGTCGCTCCAGCCCTGGATTCCCTCTCCCTGCAGGGTCACTCCAGCCCTGGATTCCCATTGATCCAGAGGGTGTTAATTATAACTGCTGTCGATGGCCTGCCCTGGGTGTTATCCCTGGCACAGGAATTCGGGAGGCAGCAGGAGAGACTCTTAATTTGTCACCGGTTGGATTTGCCTCCAGCTCCGATCAGGGGGAGCTCTGGGATTAAGGAGCTCCTGAAAGGAGCTTTTTTTTTTTTTTCCCTCCTCCCTCCAAGGTGGCACCGGGAGAGGCTCGGGCTGAGGGGTGGCTGGGCAGATTCCTCAGGGATCTTTGGGCACACAGAGATTCCAGAGCAGCACTTGGGATATTGGGGGAAGCGCCAGTGGGCAGCACGGGATGGATCAGGACCCGTAAATCCCTAGGGAAGTGCTTTCCCACTCAGGGTTTCCTTCCAGCCAGTGGCTCTTCCTGGAGGTGTGCAGGGAGGGATCTGGGACCTCTGGAGCATTTCGTTGTTTCGGTGCTTAAAAACCCTCAGTTTGATGCTTGGAATTCTCCTCCTGGACCAACCAGCCCCTGGAAGTTTTTAACTCTGTGTCCAGAGCTGTTCGTGGCAGCAAAGCCAAGGAATAATACCGGAGTGGAAGTGGGAATTTCCTGCTCACCTGGTCACTCAGGTGTCCAAAAAGGGCAGAAATTCTCTTCCTTGGGCTGTCTGAGGAGGTTTGTGCAGAATTTGGAGGATCCCAAGCCTGGCTTAGTCTGAAAATGTGATGCTCTAAACCCCTGTTTTTGGGGATAAATCTGCTGATTTTCACTGGATCATAGTTTGTCTGGATGATGGAAGTCAGGAATGTTGGTGACAGTGAGGGCCCTGGTGTTCTGATGTAGAAATTCCAGCATTATTTCAAGGAAAGAGGAAAAAAAAGGGAAACTTGGGAGTGCCAGAGTGGGGTCTGAGCTGATCCTGCTCCGGGGGGTGTTGGATCCCTGGAACATTTCATTTCCCTGGGGGGTTTAAAAGTTGCTTGATGAGAATGAGAGCCCCCAGATCCTTGCAGATGAGACATCCAGGCTCTGGAATGAGCTGGGAGAGGATTCCGAGGGCTTGGATTGCCGGGTGTCGGAGGAGCCGGGGCAGGACCCGCAGGGAGGGGACGTGGGGTGTCCTTGGACACCCAGGACCTGCAGTCAGGGGCTCCTGCAGCTCCAATTCCCTGCATCCCAGGCACTTTTCTGCTGGAAGAGCTGCTGCTGCGGCTTCCAAGGATTAACTGTTCAATCCCCAGCTTCCCAGAGCAGCTGCTTCCAAAGGAATCCCTCGCACTGCTTTTCCTCTGGACACCGATGTGTTTTCCTTGGTCGCTTGAGCTGCAAACCAAGCCCGTGAAATTCCCAATTCCCACCTTGGAGAGGCGGGAGGGGGGCCTGGGCAGGGCTGGAAGGGGATGTGGAGCCGGGAGCTCCGTGTGGAAACTTCCAGGCCTGGAATGTGGGTCAGCGGGAGCGGCGGCTCCGGAGGGGTTAAACGGCTCCTCCTCGGGATCCCTGGAGGAGGAAAACTATTTTAGTCCCACGGCAGGGACGCTCCGCTCCGGGAGTGCTGCCCTGCACGGATGGAGCCTCGGGAATACGGGAATATGGCCTGGGAGGAGCGATCCCTGCTGACCCCCCCCCGGCACAGGGTGCTCTTCCCGGGAAAACTCCTTGGGAAGCTCAGGCTCTGAGCTGGAGGTGCCTGCTTGGCTCCCTGCAGGATCCTCCCTTCCCACCAGGGCCTTTCCCAGTCCCCTCCATGAAACGATCCCTACCAGGCAGAAGAATCCCCCTTTTTTAATTTTAATTTGGATTTTTATCCCCCTCTTCTCCCCCTTTCCCCAGCAGCTCCAATTCCTGTGGCTGGAGTGCAGGATTCCCAGTTCCAGTGCCAGGATTCCCAGTTCCAGTGCCAGGGCTCCCAGTTCCCCTGTCAGTGCCGTAGTTCCAGGATTCCCAATTCCCAGGGTTCTTGGCACCACCCAGTCTGTGGATGGAGGAGGGGGCTGTGTGTGCCTTTCTGTCCCTGGAGGAGCATCTGTTCCTGTCCAGGATGCAGGAGGAGCCCATGGAATTACTCCCTGTCCATGGGCTTTTCCAGCCCCGCTGGAGTCGCTCCCACCGAGGGTTTTCAATGGCTCCTAATTAGAAAAGCATTGGATAATAGGATGAGCTATAATTAGCCAGACCTGCCCTCTGGAATGCCGACCCGGATCCATTCGCTCCCTTTCCGTATCCACACTTTGGTAGCAGTTTGAGGGGGAACCTTTGGGATCCCCTCTGGGATTGCTTAAACCAGGAGAACAGGGAAGATGTACTGGTGACCCTTCCCAGCCCTCTCCAGGGGCAGGAGCACTGGGAGTGCACCTCTGGGGTGCAGGAAAATTCCCTCTGGAACTTTGGGGGGGGGGGCACATCCAGTGGGAATTCCTGCCTGCCCGTGGTCTCCTTCCCTGGGTGTTTTCCTCGAGGGAAGAGGGAAGGGCTTGATGGGACGATCGGCAGGGAAGGCCTCGTGAAAGGGCTGTTGTTGGGCAGGGGAAGTGCTGGCCAAGGGCTGGAATGGCCACACAAACACAGGGAATGTTGCCCTGGGATGATTTTTTGGGCTGTGCAGGACAAGAACTTCTCCAGGGAGTTGTTTCCACCCCATCCCACCCCTCCTTGTTTTTTTTCTGCTTCCTGGGAGCTGCTGCAGGGAATGAGGACGAGGCCTCAGATAGGGCCAGGGGTAGGGGACAGCTGAGTTCACCCACGTTCTGGGGGAGGTGGCACGGAATTCCGGGATGGATGGGGTTGGGAGGGACCTCTGGAGATCCCCCCCTGGCCTGGCAGAGGCACTTGGAGCAGGTGGCACAGGGACATGTCCAGGAGGGGTTGGGATGTCCCCAGGGAGGGAGACTCCACACCCTCCATGGACAGAAGTTCCTCCTCGTGCTGAGCTGGGGCTTTGTGTGTCTTTGGTTTGTGGCCATCACTCCTTGTCCCACCACTGGGAAGAGTCTGGGACACCCCTTGGAGATGTTTATGGATCGCTGGGATCCCCTCTCTGGACTAAACCCAACCCAAACCTCTGGCTCAGCTTAGGCAGCACATCCAGCGTGTCTCTAAACCTCCCTTCCCTCCCATCCCAACATTCCCACGCCTCCAGTGCCGTTCCCTGCACGTGGGTGACACCGGGCAGTCGCCGCCCCGTTGGCTGCCTGGTGGTAATTAATTAGTACAGTTAATGATTCGGGCTCGTCTGGGGCCTGTTGGCTCCTTGGACAAGTTCAAAGCAACGAGGTTCTTCCTGGAATTGCGTCTCCAAGGGGTTTTCCTGCACGGACACGTGGATGGGTGCTGCCGTTATCCCAGAAATGAGAAATGGGGAGGGGGCCCAGCAACTGCTGGAAGACTTAGGGGTGAGCTCCAGGTAAACTCGGGACAAATTCAGGCCTTGGAGGTCCTTTTTTCCTCCTCGAGGATGGGAATGTTGGTTCCAGGAGGCATTTGGGTCAGCCCAGGGGGATCAGGTGGGTGTTTTTTTTCTCTGGGAGCGTCGATGGAAGGAGCAAAGCCTGAAGGAACACACAGCGAGAAACCCCAGCCTGACTTGCGGTTCCTTTCCTTAAATCCTGGGATCCTCTTTCCCAGGGGATTCCAGAGCTTGGCATGAGTGTTTTGGGAGGGAAGGGGGTGCTGTCCCAGGGGTGTCCTGACCCTCCTCTCTCTCTCTCCCCTCAGGATCCTCAGCCACGTCCCTTTCAGCCTCTCGGCCCCGGCAGGATCCCAGCGGGAACCCATGACCTTCCCTGCCAGGTAGGAGCCGGGAATGGCGCGGGATGGGGAGGGAATGGCGCGGGATGGGGAGGGAATGCCGCGGGATGGGGAGGGAATGCCGCGGGATGGGGAGGGAATGCTGCAGGATGGGAATGCCGCAGGATGGGGAGGGAATGCCGCGGGATGGGGAGCGTCGGACCCGGCACGGGCGGAAATTCCGGTCCTGGCAGCGCAGAGCTGGGCTGGGACTGCGGGGGAATCGTGTCCTGCAGCTGCAGCTCCCGGGCCAAGGAAGGGCTGGGGAGGAGCTCTGGGATCAAACTCGGTTCTGTGCCTTCACCAAAACTCTCTTTTCACACCCCAGAGGAGGGAAATGTCCCGAGTTTCCTGAGGGACAGGGAAGTTTTGCTCCCCTGGAGCTGGGCAGTCCCAGCACCGCTCAGTGCTGTCGGTCTGGGGCACGAGGAGAAGCAAAAACAAGCGGGGAAATCCCTCCCTGGGGACTTGCTGTGTGTCCTGGTCGTTTGTGCAAACTTCCCCCCCCCCCGGAAGAGAAACTGGGAATGGGAGGGAAGTTTGGGCAGGGATTTTGGAGCTCAGGGAGTTCAAGGAGGGAACAGCCCAGCTCTGTCCCGTCCTGGTGCTCCCCCGTCCCAGGTGGTGTCAAGTGAAGCGTTTCCTAAGTAGGAATTTAAGGATTTATCCATTGTGGGGAGGGAGGTTTTTTCCTCAAAAAAATGGGGCTGGGGAAGGAAATGGGGTGGGGAAGGGTCTGAGGAGCAGCTGAGGGCACTTGGATGGTTCATCTGGAGCAGGGACTGAGAGGAGACTCCTTAGACAAAAAGTAGATCCATGAAACTTCAGGGAAAATTCAGGTCCAACCCCTCCTGGAGTGACTGCAAGTAGAGCCCTCACAAGCATCTCTTTAACCCCAAAGCAACAGACCTTCCAGTTAATCTCCATTTTCAAGTTCTTCTTGGAAAAATCGGAATATTGATGGGAGGGGGGGAGGGATAAGAAAATTCCTCAGTAATTTGGATTTTCCTTTTGCTGCCTTTGCATCCGCTTATCCCAGTTCCCTCTGTGATGGCTCTTGAGGATGAATCCAATAATTTAGATGGGATTGAACAGGAATCTTTGTTTTGGGAGAGGGTGCTGCAACCAGTTTGGAAAAAAAAAAAAAAATCCAGGAATTCCCAAGGAATTGCCCATGCCCAGCGTGTGGCGCTGGCAAAGCTGATTGGGGTTGTGAGGGGCTATTTAAATATGCAAATTCTGCTGCATTAAAATCAATGAACCAGCTCGGATCCCTCCTTTAATAAACATCAGGCATTAATTGGGGAGGGGGGGAAGGGTTTGATTGCAACTCAAAGGGCCCTTATTTAATATTTCAATTGAATGTTTTAATATCGAAATCTCCTGGTAAATAAAAGCTGCAGTCGAGCTGGGGGGGCCCTTTCAGTGGAGGGTTTTATTTTTGGGGCCCAGATAAACAGTGGATAAACAGTTTCTTAATGATTAATGATTAATTAATCGAGGATCGATGCGCCTGGAGAATCCATACGTGGCAGGAAGGTGGGAGGAAAATTCTGCTCCTCCCTTTGTCCTTCAGCAAAACCCACTTGGATTTTTATCCTCTGCTGGTGGGATTCCCGGGGGGGGGACAAGGAACCAGCTCCATCCCAAAATCAGTGGCTCATTCCAGAATCCTTGGGTTGGAAGGGGTGTTGCTGTGGCAGGGATTGCTTTGAGGCTGGGCATTCCAAAAGTAAGGAACAGCAACACCAGGAAAAGTGTTTAAGAGGGAAAAAAACCCCTTCGAGTTGTAACGCACTTTTAGTTGCTTTATCAGGATTTTCCCCTTGATGGTGAAAACTCCTCTGAATTCCTACAAAACCAGCGAGTTGCTCCTGTGATTTCTCTGATTTTTTTTTTCACCTCACCTCAGTGGCCTCGAGTTTTCACAAAAATCCAGCAAAGTGATGGTTTTTGCAGGCAGCGGCTTTTCCCGTTTTTCCGGCTCCGTCTTTAGTAGCACCTTGGGATGCCCCTCTCCCTGTGCAGAGCCCTTAGACAGAGCTCAGCCCGGAGCCAAACCCAGCCCTGGGCAGGGATTTCCCAGGTGAGTCCGCACAAATCCCACAGGAAGCTGGAAGCGCAGTGGGATTCCAGCTCCCAGAATCCCGGCCCGGCCCGGAGCTCTGTGGTGCTGGAGCTCAGCCCCTTCTCCAGGTGTTCGTTTTGGGGAAGTGCTTCCCCTGAGTCCGGAATTCCCGAGCAGGATGGAAGGGAGCAGCAGATCCCCCCCCCACCCCGGGGCTGGAAGTGCTTCCCGAGCTCCCCTCGGAGTCGGGCACCCCGTGGGGGGCCCCGTGGCCACTCCGGGCTCTTCCTATCCCACATTTTTCCCCCCTGCTTTTCCTTCCTCCTCTCCCAGCGCTGCCCATCCCGGTGCATCACTCTGGACAACTTCCCTGGCACAGGAGGGGGGAATCGTGTGGGCTCTGAGCCCTGGGCATGGCCAGGGTTTCCCAGCCCTCTGGCAGCTCCTCAGTGCTCCCCTGGGGAGTTTGGGAGAAGGGGGGGGATAATTCCCGTGGGATCCGGGGGGGGGGGGGGGGGGG